GGGCAGCAGTGTGTGCTGAAGGGATGGCTGCACCAGGTGCCACTGTTTTCCGGAGCACTCGCCCCATTCCCTGTGCTTCTTGTGGGTTCTTTTCTGGAATGCTTGCAGCAGCCATCGCTCCTTGAAGGCCCCCAGGGTTACCTCCCCTTCCGTGTGAGCATGGGGCTCATCACCCTGGCTAGTGAAGTACAGAGGGGGAGAAACGATGGCCTCAGGAGGCTGCTCGTCTCAGTATCCTGAGGCTGTCGGCACAAAGCACCATGAACTGGGGAACCAAAACAGGAATGTACTCTCTCAAAGGTCTGGAGACCAGAAGTCTGAGATCACGGTGTGGGCAGGGCCGGCTCCTTCTGGAGGCTCTAACAGAGTCAGTTTCCGGTCTCTCCTGGTGCTGGCGGCCGCAGCAGTTGTTGGTGTGTCCACTTCACTGCAATCTCTGCGCCTGTCTTCTCCTCTGTCTCTTATGAGAACATCCGTCACTGGACTTAGGGCCCATCCTATATCCAGGATGATCTCAAGATCCTAACTACTTACATCTACAAAGACCCCATTTCCAGTGAAGATACATTCAGTTTCTGGGTGCCAGGACAACCCATCACTGCCCAGGTAGGGGAAACCGAAGCACAGGAAGGCGAGGGGGCAGGGAGAAAGGACTGCCCCCCCCGCCCCCCAATCCTCACCTCTGGCTGTCGCTGGCCAGGTACTCCGCAAACATGCGCACAGCCTGGAGCTCAGGGGCTGAGGAAGGCTTGATCTCATCCAGGACCACGCCATACTTCCTCTATGGTGAGACAAGCAAGCTGTCAGCTCCACCCGCCCTGCCCTGGAACACAGAGCTTCTCAGGGTTCCAGCATCACCCTAATGAAGCTCCATGCCTAGAACTTACACCCACCACCCCCAGGGACTCCTCATCCTGCCAGGTGCCCAACCCCCACTTAGCACTGTCCCTTACTCTCCCATCCCAGGCGTGCCGGAGTCATAGCCCATGCTCACCTGTGCAAGGTACGCTCTGTACAGGAAGACATCCCTTTCCACATCTCTCTCCGGACTCGACGGCTGTGGAAACAGAGGCAGGTCAGGACCCACAGGGCCATGTGCCTGACAGGCCCTCAGAGGCCTGAGCCGACAAGGTGGAGTCCAGGCTCTGGCTTTCCACTTCCTGTGCTCTGGGCAGCAGGAGAGCAGCCTCCCCTGAGGGCACACAGCATGGTGGGCCCTGATCTTGTCCCATCCTGACATCACCCCGGAAGGAGGCTCAATTGTCAGCCACTCATCCAGGTACGGAACTGGGCACCAAAAGTGCCACAACTGCTCTAGCCACAAGCCAAGGGGACAGGTGATGCTGGAGAACAAGGGGACCCGGGTGGAGATGTGTGACGAGGACTTTACTTTCTGTGACAGATATTTCCACACAGCTTGCTCCTGTCCTGCTCTTGTTTTAAAACACTCTTTAATTTAAACATGACACACAGAAGAGACAAAGGTTTGCCTCACGCAAAAGACCTTTCTGGGAGAGCCCAACTCTGCTGCCCCAGCACAATGACAGCTGTGTCTAGCCTGGGCCAGGTAGACCTCGGGGACCTCCCTGCACTTGGTGACGAGGCCCACGCACTGCACCGCCTCGGCCTAACCACTACCGAGAGCCCAGGAGCCGAAGTGAGCTGACCTCATACAGCATTCACTGTGGGACTGAGGAAGGGCCCGGGAGGCTGGAGGCAGGCGAGGGACCCTCTCTTAGGAGAACAGCTTTTGGACCCCAGGATGCTGGCCAACTTCCTGGAGGCCCTGTGATGCCTAGGACAGGTGGATACAGAGCAGCACAGGCCAGAGGGTGTGGGAGCACTGGCACAGGCTACCCTAGGGGCTGGGAGAGAAAAATGAGGTGGGAAGAGGGCCCAGCCACCTGGGGTGGCCTCTCCAGCAAGCGCAGAGATGGCCTATATGGCTGCCACAGCACAGGGTCTGGATACACCAGGACTGCCTCCCCCAGGTGACAACCAGATCCTGTCACCATGCCTTCTTCTCCCCGGCCTGAGGGGTGAGGTTGGTGAGCGACAGTGTCCTCCACTCAGGCCAAGGGAGACCACAAACAAGAGGCCGGGCTCCTAGTCCCAGCCTGACTCAGGCCAACTTCACTGCAGGGTCCCAGGGGCTTTCTCTGACCTTGGAGACCAGGCTGGGATCTGCTAAATAAGTGACTTTCAAATGACCCTCAGAGGTGGGTACTGGTGTGGACAACCCATATGGGGGCCCCACACCACTGTCAGTAGAAAAACAGACATGTTGTTCCGGCTGGTGTGGCTAAGTGGTTAGAGCAAGGTCCATGCATCAAAGGGTCTTGGATTCCATTCCTGGACAAGGGCACGCACCTAGGTTTTGAGATGCCACCTCCCCCCACCCCCCGCCCCGTCAGGGCATGTGCGACAGGCAACCAGTTGGTGTGTCTCTCTCTCCCCTTCTCCCTCTCCCTTCCACTCTCTCTGAAATGCAATGGGAAAAAAATATATCCTCTTGTGAGGATAACAAAAACAAAACAAAATTAAATTAAAAAAACAACAGACATGCTGGCTCTTGGTGTCTTTGAAGAAAGGACGCAATGGGGGAACCTGAGGGGAACTCTTGAGTCCCAGAGGAAACTCGTAACCTGCCCATCTGTAAAATGGGCACCACCATCACCAACCCTGCACGACCGCCAAGGTCTTACCAAAAAGCCACACGTGGACACTTGGGACCTTCTCAATCAGTCGGAAAGAGAAGAGCTTCTGAGAGGCGTAATAACAAGGACAGCCCGGCTGGTGTGGCTCAGTGGTTGAGCACAGGCCCATGAACCAAGAGGTCACCAGTTCGATTCCAGGTCAGGGCACATGCCCCAGTTTCAGGTTAGATCCCTATTAGGGGGCGTGCAAGAGGCAGCTGACTGATGATGTTTCTCTCTCATCGATGTTTCTATCTCTCTATCCCTCTCCCTTATCTCTCTAAAAATCAATAAAAACGACAGATGTACAGACCAGGGGTATCAGGTGAGTTGAGCGCTCTGTGGGACTGTGGGTCCCCAGTTCTGACAGCTCATGCGAATTACCTGGGAACTCAGAAACCAGCAAAGCCAGAAGGCCCAAGCCTGTCAATGCTGTCTGACTCCAGGTGGTCCTACCTGCCCCCAGGTAGTGGATAGGTGCAGTGAAGCCTGAGAGCAAGAGGTACTATCTGGGGAGGCCAGTGATGGAGTTAAGGGGGTGCGGGGGTTGCATCCCATCCCTTTAATGGCCATGAGGTCACCTGACCACACTAGATGTCAGCTCCTCAGGCTTTCTTCTGTTTTGTCCCCAATACCTTGGTGTGCCTGCCATCTTGTGGACACTTGAAAAATGTCCAACAAACAGGGACATGATGGTGACACAGTGCTAGAACATACCTGTGTTCCACCTGGAACCACCTCAGGTCCTACCCATCTGAGGTTGCTGGGACACTGTACCAAACTACCACAAACTGGGGGCTTGAAACAACAGATACGTATTCTCTCACAGTTCTGGAGGCCAGAAGTCCAAGATCAAGGTGTCAGCAGGGCCACACTCCCGCCAAAGGCTCTAGGGGAGAATTATTCCTTGCCTTGTCCAGCTTCTGGTGGTTCCAGGCATTCCTTGGTTTACGGCTGTATCACCCCAACCTCTGCCTCCATCTTCTCTGTCTGCCTCAAACCTTTCTCTGCCTTCCTCTTAGAAAGGCACCAATTACACGATTTAGGGCCTTCCTAAATCCCAGCTGATCTCATCTAGAGATCCTTCATTGAATCACATCTGAAAAAACCCTTTTTCCAAATAAGTCACATTAATAGGTTCTGGGTTGGACATATCTTTCTGGGGTAGCATTCAACGCAACACAGGCTGCCTAAGAGGCTTAGGTGCTCCAATGGACCAGAATTCATTGACATCAGATGGCTCAGCAGGGACAGTGCTTCCATTCCCTGGATGCCTCAGAGAGATGTCTTGGCAATGTCTATGGCTCGGAAGCTGGGTTGTGTGTGCCTCCAGCCAGAGTGATCACTGGTACGATTTCCTTTGTTTTTCAGTCACTCTCTACGTATAGCAGATCACACTGGTTCCTTCAGCGGTGATGTAAAGTTTGCATATTATGATGTGAGAAGACTCAAATAACACGTTGCTATGATGTAAGCAGCACAGACACATGGCGGAAGCCAAAAGGTGAACATGAGTGCAATGCTGAACTTCACAGTGGCCCTACTGGGAGGTGTCAGGAGGGGAAACTGACGCTCAGCCCTAGCTGCAGAGACAACATGGAAGAACTGGAATCTGAGCCCAGGTCCATCTCAATCTTCTCACAGTCTAGACCACCTTAGCAAGAGGCACATACAATTTTGATGGTGGGCAAATGAGGTTGCCCAGAGGGACTTCATAGATATGATTAAAATAGAAATCGAGTATGCTGGTTACCCGGGAGGGCCCAGTCTAATCACAGAAGCCCTAAAAGCAGAGACTGGGCAGAAGGAATGCAGCAGACGGGGAAAGTCTCTGAATTTCAGGTTCTAAGATGGGAACTGGGGACGGGGTGGAGCATACGCAGGCAGGTCGAAGTCTGGAGAAAAGCCTCTAGGACAGCAGTTCTCAACCTGTGGGTCGCGACCCCTTTGGCAGTCGAACGACCCTTTCACAGGGGTCGCCTAAGACCATCCTGCATATCAGATATTTACATTACGATTCATAACAGTAGCAACATTACAGTTATGAAGTAGCAACAAAAATAATTTTATGGTTGGGTCACACCATGAGGAACTGTATTTAAAGGGCCAGAAGGTTGAGAACCACTGACCTAGGAGCTAAGAGTGACCCCTGGTGGAGAGCCCACAACCTGACTGCGTTTGAGAGCAGATTCTTCCCTAGAACCTCCAGAAAAGACGAAGCCTGGACGACACCTTGAATGTAGCATGGTGAGCGCCACACCGGACTTCTGACCTAACGAACGGCGAGAGATGAATAAATTAGTGTTGTTTTATGCTCTTTGTTGTAAGTTGTCGAGGCAGCCACAGAAAATTAATACAATGGTGCAAATGTTATCTCAACAAACCCTAACAGCTTCCCGAAGCCCCCACTGCACAGATGCTCAGAGACATGAGGTTCACGGCCGAAGATGAAAGGCATGGAAAGCAAGCCTTCTCTACTTCAGGGTCCAAATTCCTCCCAGTCATCCGGCTGCCTCTGTGAAGATGTCTGCCACTCCCTTCTTTGGTGCTCTGATGGCATCCTAATCAGTCTGGAATAAAATCCAAAACCCTGCTGCCTCTCACCCTGCCCACACCATTCTCCATCCTCCCCCTCGACACTTCCCCCCTACTTCTGCCACACGGGCCGCCTATGCCTTGACGACCCCGAGCTCACACCTGCCACAGCACCTTTGGAGTAACTTATGGGGTTAGAAGCTTCCCAAAGTTCAGTCTCAGGTTCAAATGACAATGGGAAAGGCAGGCCTGACTGGACCACTCCCACACTAAGCAGCCACCCTTCCCCAGCTTCGGACGGAGTGCTTTTCATCTCCCCTTGCCCACACGTAGGGCTCGCGTTGTACTGTTCACTCGCTTCTTTGTTTACTCTCTTTGGAACACGAGGCTGTGAACACAGGCAGAGACCCTGCCATATGGTTCTCCCAAAGAGACAGAAGGTCCATGTCCCTCTCTTAAAGGTCCTGCCATGAAGATTTATTTTCTAGCTCAAACTGCCAAGCTCATTCCCTCCTCCATCACACCACCTCCTGACTTGTTTACGCATTTATTTACTTGTTTCCCAAAAGAGAGCTGACAGTTTTGTCTATTTTGTCACGCTTTTGAGCTCAGCACGAACACTCTGCCTGACCCCCCCGAGATGCTCACTGAGGAATGAATGAATGAGCGAGTCTGGGGAGAAACAACCGGGCTCGTGGGGCAGGGTGACGCTGGGACGTCATTCCTCTCTTGATAGTGGGTATTCTCACCTGTAAAGTGAGATAAACAGTCCCTACTTCACGGGGATTGAGGGTATGGCGGCCAGTGTGGGCGCCCAACAAACGAGAACTACTGCCATTATTATTATAGAGCATAAACCCCTAACTCAAACGCCCTCCAGGACGCAGAGCGGGCGCTCTGAGAGTAAAAACTGCTATTGCTTCGGGTCCTGTCATGGGAGGATTACTCCTCACCGCCTCTGAAGAGGTGCGTGGTGGTAAACGCCGCCAGAAGATTTTTTAAAGACAGAACGCGACCCGCGGCAGCAGGAAGCGCCGCCACCTCAGTCCCCGGCCCCGAAGCGGCCGCACCTTCACCCGCTGCGCCTCGTTGATGCACTGCTGGTAGCTGCCGATGTAGAAGGCGTTCTTCACGTCAAACAGCTCGTCCACTTCTCCAGAGCCGCCGGAAGCCGAACCCGGAGCCGGGGGCGCCATGTCGCTCTGGTGTCACCCACTCCTCTTCCGGAGGGACACGTCTACAGGAAGCGGGGAGTCACCGCAGGGCATGCCGGGAAATGTAGTTACCTCGTTCCGGCCTGAAGATGAGCCAATGAGAGATTCCTAAACCAGAGTAAAGGGGCGGGTGGCGCAAATGCGTCTTTCAGGGCATTTCGGGAATTGTAGTTTGAGTTAATCCTGCGAGCCAATGGGATTCGGGAAAATATGGTAACTATATGTGTATGTTTAAGTCTGGGAATGGCAAAGGGAGTTTAAGAGGGTGGAACCACACAGGAGTCGGAACCAATCAATGGGAAATTTTCATACGTCATTGGCACGCGCCGGAAGCGCGGCTCACCGGAGTTCAGCGGCAGGCAGCGAGGATGGCCGGGTTCGCTGAGCTCGGTCTGTCCTCGTGGCTCGTGGAACAATGTCGGCAGCTGGGTTTGAAGCAGCCCACACCCGTGCAGCTCGGCTGCATCCCCGCCATCCTGGAAGGTGAGTGTGGCCGGGCCTCTTCCCCAGGAGGCATCTCCGCTCCTGTGCCTCCTCCATTCCCTTGATCCATGCTGGTCCGGAGAGGCGAGGGGCAGCCTCGGGCGTCTCGGGGAGCCTGGTTCCGGAGGCAGACATGGCAGTGTTGTTAACGTTTAGGCTGCACGACTCACTGTGTGTCCGCGCACAAGTGATGTAACCCTGAAACGTCTATAGTCTCAGAACTCAGGGAGGTTTTGGTGAATGGCTAACCGATAGTACCGGGAAAATTGAATAGAACTTGCACTACTGTCTTCATTTTATAAATGGAAACTGAGGCTGTCAAGTTTACTGGTAGATCCAGGACTCTGATCCCGTGACTGCACTTTGCCATTGCAGAGATGCCCACAGGAAGCCTAGGCCGTGGCAAGTTGACGGGTTAAATAAACAAAGGTGAAAGAATCAATAGGGAGCATAAGATGCAGATTGGAGGAGGGCATTCCAAGTTCCCCGGGCTCAGATGATGGTGGTGGTGGGGAGGGTTGTCAAAATGAGGTACTAGTTAGTAGCATCTCGAGTCATGGATATGGGGTTCCAGTCCAGCCTGCCACTCACTGGTTGTGTTCCGGGGCAAATCTCTCTGAGTCTCAGTTCCCCCTTCTGTTAAATGGGAATGATAATGGTCTCTCCTTCCTAGAACTTGTCAGTATGCCTGGAATGGAAAGGGCATGGGCCCGTATCAGTAACTGTTCAATGGAACACCTGTCCACACCTAAACTGTTGATGTTGCTTTGCCCTCTGCCCAGGTCGGGACTGCCTGGGCTGTGCTAAGACAGGCAGTGGCAAGACGGCAGCATTTGTCTTGCCCATCTTGCAGAAGCTCTCTGAGGATCCCTATGGCATCTTCTGCCTTGTCCTGACGCCCACCAGGTGAGCCCCCCATAGGCCTCTTGGGTGAGTTAACCAGTTGTGTTCTCTTGGACAAGCGACTTTCCTTCTCTTTGCCGTACTCACCTTGTGTGCAAAGTGGGGACAGAAATAATGTCCCCCTCTTCAGAGTGCTGCAGAATTAAACAAGATAGTGTGTGGAAAATGCTTGGCACAGAGCTTGACTCAGGGCAAGCACTGGACAGACAGGAACTGTCAGTAGCCTTGTAGCTTAAGAATAGGCACCTCTCTTGTTCTTGGTCATAAAGATGTGGTGGTTGACATGGTAAGTTTTGTAATGACAGGAGAGGTAGGCACTGCATGCTATGAGAGTGTGGCCTGGGAATGGGTGGTGTCAAGGAAGGCTTCAGTCGAGAGTGTGGCCTGGGAATGGGTGGTGTCAAGGAAGGCCTTAGGGTGCCTTAAAAGATGAGAAGGGTCTCTCAAAGGGACAAGTTTGGGGAACAGTAATCTAGGCAGAGGGAACTGCTAATACATTCATGCAGAGGTGTGAGGGGCAGGGAACAGGAAGGGCATTGGGGGCTGGGCACATTAGAGCCAGCTTGAGAAGGGCCTTGAATGCCAGGTTATAATTGGATCTGAGGGCGAGGGCGAGACAAGAGGCCAGGAAGTGGGGACATGGGCTGAGGAAAGGCCTGGTTGGAGCCAGGGCCAAGGGGCAGAGAGGAGGGCACTTGGACACTGGCTACCCCCAGGGCAGGAGGGTTTCAGGCTTTGGTGACTGGTGTCAAGGCCATTGCTGAGAACATGGGAGGAGGAGAGGCCAGTAGGGGAGGGGACCTGGGCTGTTCTGGGGTCCAGTCTGGTAAGGGGGAAGGGTCCACACAGGCCTCCAACGCTAATTGTCAGAGTTTTTGTCCAAAGGAGACTGGAAGCCATGGAGGGTGTGTGAACAGAGGAGAGCAGGTCGGGAAGCCCTGGGGGTGGAGATGGGAATGGGAGACAGGTACAAAACCTCTGTGTTACCCAGCCCGGCTCCTTCACACCCACAGGGAGCTGGCCTACCAGATCGCAGAGCAGTTCCGGGTCCTGGGGAAGCCTCTGGGCCTGAAAGACTGCATCATCGTTGGCGGCATGGGTACGGGGGCCCCAGGGAGGCTTTGGGTATGGGACCCCTGCAGTCTTGGACCACCTGCCCAGCCCCACCTCTTGCCCTCCACCTGCAGACATGGTGGCCCAGGCCCTGGAGCTCTCCCGGAAACCACATGTGGTCATCGCCACGCCAGGGCGCCTGGCTGACCACCTCCGCAGCTCCAACACGTTCAGCATCAAGAAAATCCGCTTCCTGGTGAGTTGGCCTGGGCACTGATTCATCCATTTGGAAAACGGGTCCCACAGGCCATCCAGCAGAATGTTAGGAATGTGACATGGATAGCTCAGAGACCCACAAGAGGTAGTCTGTACCTGTGGGGGTGGTTGGGAGCAGGGCTTGTCTAAAGAAGTGACATTGGAGCTGAGACAGGTCCCATCAAGAAAATCCGCTTCCTGGTGAGTTGGCCTGGGCACTGATTCATCCATTTGGAAAACGGGTCCCACAGGCCATCCAGCAGAATGTTGGGAATGTGACATGGATAGCTCAGAGACCCACAAGAGGTAGTCTGTACCTGTGGGGGTGGTTGGGAGCAGGGCTTGTCTAAAGAAGTGACATTGGAGCTGAGACAGGTGATGGAGCAGGACCTCCAAGACCTCAAGTCTTGGAGGTCTTGCTCATGGTCAAAGCTGGGAAGGAGGAATATGGGGGAGGCAGGCCAGCCTTGGACAGCACACTCACCCCAAACCCACTACCACTACCCGCTGCTGCTGGCATTGCAGGTGATGGACGAGGCAGACCGGCTGTTGGAGCAGGGCTGCACTGACTTTACCGTAGACCTGGAAGCCATCCTGGCAGCTGTGCCGGCCCGCAGGCAGACGCTGCTCTTCAGTGCCACCCTGACTGACACACTAAAGGAGCTGCAGGGCCTGGCCACCAACCAGCCCTTCTTCTGGGAGGCTCAAGCCCCGTGAGTCCACAGCCACATTCCGGGGGTGTCGGGGGCAGGCAGAGGTGGTGGTGGGGTTACGCCCAATATTCCCAATGGAGATAATTGCCCATAGGTGGGCAGGGCATTGGCCGAATTCAACAGAAGGGGAAACTGAGGCCTACCCCTTCCCAGGGTGCGCACGGTAGAACAGCTAGACCAGCGCTACCTGCTGGTGCCTGAGAAGGTCAAGGACGCCTACTTGGTCCACCTGATCCAGAAGTTCCATGATGAGCATGAAGACTGGTCCATCATCATCTTCACCAACACATGCAAGTGAGCTTGGTGGGCCCGCTTCCCACAGACTTCCATGGAGGCCCAAGAAGTGGCCCAAGGTCACAGGTGGGAGGCACACAGCCAGTCTCCGCACTCCAGGGCCTCTGCTCAGACCAGAGGTTTTGGGAGATTTGCTCAAAGCGGCTCAGAACAAGCCACTCACCAGGATCACATCTTCTGAAGGTGGAGCCAGGAATGGGGGTTCCTCAGATCTGCCCTTAACATGAAAGCCAGGCTGTCCCCATTCTTGGAGCAGCCTATTCACTATGGTCTAAGGCAGTGATGGAGAACCTTTTGAGCTCGGTGTGTCAGCATTTTGAAAACCCCTAACTTAACTCTGGTGCCGTGTCACATATAGAAACTTTTTGATATTTGCAACCATAGTAAAACAAAGACTTATATTTTTGATATTTATTTTATATATTTAAATGCCATTTAACAAAGAAAAATCAACCAAAAAAATGAGTTCACGTGTCACCTCTGACACACGTGTCATAGGTTCGCCATCACTGGTCTAAGGTACCTGAGGCCCAGAGCAGCAGCACCCACACCGGGGCTGTGCTCCCCATAGTCCCAGGGGACTTTTGACTCTTCTGAAGCATGTGCAGGGATTGTCAAGAGGCTGTAGACTGTTCTGACATGAGCCAGTAGGTGGGCAGTCCATACCGCATTGATGGGACCCCGAAGAACTTCCTGGCTACCTGAAAAGTCTGGGTGTGGGGCTGTCTCTTGCTGGCTTAGGCTAGGAGAGGAGTCAGCAGAGAGGATGTCAGTGGGCAAGACACCCTGCACCTTAGCTTGTCCTTGCCTGTCTGCAGGGGCACCTGTCTGGGGTCCTAGGCAGGGTTGGGGTGGGGGGGCAAAGAGCACTTTCCCAGGACCCCAGCTTTGTAGGGGCTAAAAGTGCATTCTTCCCACCAGGACCTGCCAGGTCCTGTGCATGATGCTACGCAAGTTCAACTTCCCCACTGTGGCTCTGCATTCTATGATGAAACAGGTGAGGAGACCCCCACCTGCTCTCCTTGCCTGTGATTCCTCCCAGCCTCCGGGCCTTCGCGTAGGCTCTTCCCTCTGCCTGGTACACTCTTCCTGCCACCCCCCTTCGCCCTGTTCTGCCTTTTTTAGTCATCTCCCTCCCTGGACTGTGAGCCCTGTGAGGGCAGGACCATCCTGGCCTCAGCCCTGTCCTAGGCCTCATACAATAAGTGCTCATTGACTAAGATGGTATCTGACCCCCATCCCCATTCCCCCAATTCTTCCCTGATCCGGCTCAGAAAGAACGCTTTGCTGCCCTGGCCAAGTTTAAGTCCAGCATCTATCGGATCCTGATCGCAACAGATGTGGCCTCCCGGTGAGCAGAATACTCCGTCCTATGTGCTGGCCCGGTGACACCCCCACAGAGGGGCCAGAGGGGGAGGCTGGCCTCGGGCAAGGATTGGGCAACCCGTTTAACTGCTAAATGACCTTGGGTGAGTCCCAGCATCGGTTTTAACATGTGGACAGTGGTGCTGATCGGCCTCTGCCTCTAGGGGCCTGGACATTCCCACAGTGCAGGTGGTCATTAACCACAATACCCCCGGGCTCCCAAAGATCTACATCCACCGAGTTGGCCGGACAGCCCGTGCAGGTAAGTAGACAGGGTGGGATGGCCTTTGGGGAACCATCCCTCCAGCTTGCCCACACCATGAGGAGCCAAAGTCATGAGCTAGTGGGGCATGTGGGGGGATACAGCCCCAGGTGAAAGCTGTTGGGGAACTGTCCTTTTAAAAGCAAAGGTGGGGGTACTTTGGTTTTTTCATGGAACCTACATCTGTCTCTGGGGACAGAGCATATACTGCCCCAATCCTCATCAATCCCTGTTGCCTCACTTCAGTCCTCTTAAACTGTCAGGCTGCCAATTGGCACCTTGCAGTGGGTGGGTAGATGTGGTATTGCCCATGGGATTTGGTGTCCAAGTTTAACCCCTCACTGTGACCCTAGCCAGTGGCCAAGGAGATATCCATCTCTCTGATCCCCAGCTCTAACAGAGAGGAGTGCTGCATTTGTGAGATTTTGTCATGCCTGGAGTGGAGAGAAACTTTCTGGGGCTGTACTGGTCCTGCCCCTTCTCTCCTGCCCTGTGGCCTCAGGCAGATCACATCAGCTTTCTGGACCTTACTGCTTTGTCAAATGATGGGTAACGAGAACATGATGTCTGTTTGAGGCTGCTCCAAGGATCATGGGCCTGGTCAGCTGTCAGCGCTGGTTCAGCACTAGTCATTGTCACAGAAACAGAACGGAGAAACTGGCATGCAGAAATCTGGGCTGAGGCCTGTCACAGCTTACTGTTGCCATAACTCAGCCTGGGCTCCCTGGCAGCCATGCCAAAAAGGGAATCAGCCACATCACCTGCTCCAATTAGGGCCAAGCTGGCAAGAGAGCCACCTCTCCCTGGTGTCCTGCAGCTCAGCTCTCCTGGGGCAGATCACCCACTACACAGGTCTTGCTGAGGGTCAAGCTCTGATACCCCAGGCTTCCTTTAACCTGCCCCCACCTACCCACCAAGTTCTGTTCCTCTCAAGAGGAGTCCTGACCTGTCTCTGGACCCCTCATCCTGGCCCCTGGCACACAGCAGGTAACTGTGGTATGTCCTTACAGGGCGGCAGGGACAGGCCATTACACTGGTGACACAGTATGACATCCACCTGCTTCATGCCATCGAGGAGCAAATCAGTGAGTAAGGGGGCAGGAGTGGGATGCCCACCTACCTTCTCACACGAGCAAACTTAAACCACTTTCCTTCCTATACATCCCCCAAAGAAGTTTCTTTTGCCCGATTATTGAAAGCGAAGCTCCCCATAATGGCCATCTGGTGGGCAAGGACTGGTTTCTGAGACCTTGTGTGGGTGGTCCCTGTGAATAGGTCCAAGGCCCTAGGGATGAGGCTTGAGTCTGTTTAAAACCCCCTTCAGGTAGTTTAATGTGTAGCCAAGACCAAGAACCACGAGGGCATGTCTAATCACCAGTGACTCCTCAAATTCAGAAACAACTTGACTTTAGAGAACACTGCCCAAAAAAGTACTTTCCCCCCCAATCCAGTTCTTAGCGTTGGTAACCACACACACACACACACACAAAAGCAGTCTGTATCTTACTTAGGTCTGAAATCCCAGATCTTGCCCACCTGACTTTTATCTGTTAAGACCCCCAGACACCTTGCATGCCCCCTCTCCCCCCACCCTTGTCCCCACAGAGAAGCAGCTGGAGAAGTTCCTGGTGGAGGAGGCTGAGGTGGAGCAGATTCTCACCCAGGTCAACGTGGTGCGGAGGGAATGTGAGATTGTAAGTGTCCGGGAGCTGATCCTTGGGACCCAGGGTGCTCCCTTCGAGATGGGAACTACCCCCCATGACAGCCTCTCCCTCTCCCTCTTCCCCCCAACCCCAGAAACTTGAGGCAACCAACTTTGATGAAAAGAAGGAAATTAACAAGCGGAAGCAGCTGATCCTGGAGGGAAAGGTGAGGGCTGAGCCAGCAGGTGGGAGGCCAGGTTCCTGAGGTAGGGAGTAACCAGCTCAGCCATCTCCCTGTCCTCCCCGAGCCAGGACCCTGACCTGGAGGCCAAGCGCAAGGCTGAGCTGGCCAAGATCAAGCAGAAGAACCGGCGCTTCAAGGAGCAGGTGGAGCACGCGTTGCAGCGTCAGAAGGCCAGTGGGACTGGCCATAGGGGCCGTCTACCCAAAGCCCGACCTGAGGCCCGCTCAGCCCCAGGGCCTCGCCCGAAGCCCACTCGGCCCCTACCTGCCCAGCCTAAGACTCCTTCATCAAACTGAGGGTTGGAGAGTTGGAGGGCAGTTTTCCCCTCCCAAGCTGCCCAGTGCCCCTCAGTGGAGCCCATGGATGCCCACATTGTGCAGTACATGGCTCCTCTACTCTGTGGCCCCAACTGGCTCCTTCTCGAAGCCTTGGCCCAAAGTCAAGCTATCAAGGGAAGAACACTGGCCATGTGGTTGGGCCCATCTCCATAAACAGTGACTCCAGCCCAGGGTCACTGAAGGGGGTGCTGTGGACCCAAAAGTGAAGGTGTGTCATTTGCGGGAGATAATAAACGGGTCTTTTGACATGCCCAGTCTGACTCGGGGCACAGGAGTAGGAGAGGAGGGTATGGCTTCCTGTGCCTTTTAAGTCCCCTGGGACCTTATGTCACTCCACCCCACCCCCACCTCCACCCCCAATTCTTCATTCCTGTTGGGCCAGGCCCAAAACTGAACTGCAGTGCTGGCTGTTCCAAGTGGGCGACCTTGGGTTGGTGAGTCCCTCAGGGTCAGTTTCCTCGTCTGTAAGTGGACATAGCAACTGCACCTCTTCAGATGTGGCCATGAAGTTGGTGAGATCATCCTCTTCTCTGGAGAACATGGCTGTGGTCTTTAATGCCTGCCCACCTCGAATCTAGGGTTTGCAGCCAGAGTGAAGGGAGGCTGAACCAGGGCCACCTAAGTCCAAACTGGTCTAGACAACATGGGCTGAGCCCCAGGGGATGGGGCTCAGCAGG